TGAGCAGGTGCGATCGTGTCTGTGGTTTTATTTTAGGTTTTTTTTTGTTTCCTTTGTCAATGATGTTGCTTTCTTGCTAAAGTGTATCAGGGTGTCGAGATCTCGTCGAGCAAAAAGCATGATTATTATTATTTTTATTATGAAAGCTCAAAGGCCGCTCAAATAGCGGAAAAAGACGGAACTCCGTTTCGTGTCTAGTCTGTTTTTTTTTAAAGTGTTGTAAAATAATTTAACTTTTTCATTCTTCAATGTCCATGCAAATGCATGGCCGTTATGTTGCTGCACCTTGGCCGTAGACAAAGAAGAGAGGGGGAATCAAGCAAACCTCATCTGGAAGCACAGTTTTTGCTTGTAAAGCATTTTGTAGAGCAGTTCCGAAAATCTGCTATCCCGCCACTCATCGTAAATAAAAGCGTAACCCCCCACCTTCCAGGATTTTCACAATGCCACAAGCTTTTCGATTTCAGTACGTGAGCAGTCGTACACAAAATTGACGCTGAAACTTTTTGACAATTAATTCAGTCAAAGTGAATCAGCTAACCTCTTCTCATTTTCGCCTCAAAAGCCGTAGCCAAAAGAAATTCCAGCACGTCGCTGTTTGTTAATTTTTAAATAAAATTAAATTAAAAGGGGAAATTTCTTAATTTCCCCTTTTATACGAAGAATTAAGATATATGTAGGTGGTGTTTTAGATTAGATCTCTGTTGCCTAATCAAAACATACGCCCAAAGCGCCGCTTCTTCCTCCGACAACCAAATCTTCTAGGAACTACTTTGTGCGGCGTACAAACAATGCGCAAATCTCTCTTTTTTTCTTTAGTCGAAAACAAATACAGAAATTTAGCCAATTAAAACTTGTTGTCGGCTTAGTAAAAATGAGAAGTATAGACATTATCACTAAACGAAACAAGAGAAAAATGCATGCCAGCAGGAATTGTCATTCATAATGACTAATGTGAACTGATTCATCAGAACGCAGTTTCTCAAGAAGAGGCCCGTGTTTGGGCAATGTCAGTTCCAGCGCAACATCGAGCTGAGAACCGCACTTTGTTTTTCTCGTTGACACCACCGTAGGGATGCCAGGTTCACAGTTTTTCATTCTCCCAAGCCACTTCATAACCCTCCCCTTTAAATTTGTTGCGGCCTACAGTTCGGGAAGCACTGTTCTAGAGCACGAAATACGGAAGACACAGGAGAGAAGGAGGTTGGGACGCTGGTGCGTGTCGTGTCTATTTCGTTAGTGGTGCACATCTTAATCAGAAGTGCGACAAACCAGCCACACCGTTTTGCGAAAGAATGATGCGCGAAAAAAAGCAAGAGGCAATATACGGAAATCGTGAGTGTCCCGAGGTTACCGAAGCCGGCGCTGTTTCATCGTAAGAGTTCACGAGACTGCACAACGTGCTCGGTTGAAATTAAACTCAAGAGTGTGATCCAGTGCCTAGCCTAGCTTGTAGCTTCAGCTTTGCAAAGTTCCTCAATGAAAGGCATGTTTTGTACTTTTATTGAGTGGAAACATTCGTTACTGCTTTGGCCAACGTGATGGTGTACCATTTTTTGGGAAAATGAGGCGTGACAGTGGCAGAATAAACAGAAAGGTGCCCTCGAAACCTGCTTTGTCACGGCCATTGGTTGCCGACGCTCGTTAAAGTGGCACACAGAGTCGTTTTTTGCACCGGATAACTTGTCTCGTTTCGATGCCAAATTGGGTTGTGGCGTTCCACCGGCTTCCACCGTCTGACCTCCGGTCAGAGTGTGGGTTGCGCTATTGGGGGAACTAGTGGTGCTACAAACTGGTTGAGTTTTGAGTTCGACAGAGTTTGACTTTTCCGAACTTTCGACTCGAAGTTCGACGAGTGTCAAACTAAACTTGAGCGTGTATGCGAAAATTTTTCATTTTTTCCTTTGCTGCTTTGCTGTGCTGCATCGTGACGCCCTTATCTCATCGCGCGCTTCCAATTAGTAATCGTTCTACAAAATAAAAATGTAACTACTTCATGATTTATTTGTTTTTCGGAGGTCGAAAGTCTAGCTTAACGGTCGGGTAACGCCGTCTGTGCGTGAAATTTTGTAAGTACAGAAATGCATCGGCTTAGAAGGGAAGAAAGCCGCGTTTTTAAAGCTTTTAGTCTAGGTGACGCAAGCTGCCGCCCGTTACGAAGAGTGCAACCGTGAACATCCGTCCATCTTTCGTAGAACTTAGCTAAAAGTCTGAAGGTTTGACAAAAGTTTGGGACATCCCTCGCAGTCAAAACGGTGCCACGTGTCACAAGCAACTATCTCGACGTTGTGAGGGGGTGCCCGGCTCCGGTAGCTTTATCTAGCAATTGGGAAAAGTGCTTCGAGCATTGACAACGACGTCATCCCCGCCCCCGACCGTCTGTCCCCGCACCCGTAAGCCTGAGGGGAAAGATAAGAGGGCAGCCACGGAAATAGCGGAGCCGTTGGAGTGCTTTTAGTAACTCGGACGACGAAAGTTGGAGGTCGTTTCACGCGCTGGCATGGAATTCTCGGCCGTCCCCGTACAATTCCCATGTTTTTTTGCGTGTCATTCTTTCACTTTTGGCTCTAAAGACTTTCGTTGATGTTATGATTGACCATTTTTCGTAGGTAGTATGTGCATTTGGTCCCACAAATACCGCAGAACCTTAGCTCTAGCGACGTGCGGTTCCAAGGTCACCGAATAGAGGGCGGCAGCGTGCCGGAAATTTTATGCAGCGTGGACTATCTACAGGTACAGCCTATACGAGGATTTTATTTCTTTATATTGTGTATTGCGATACACCATCAGTGATGTGATTGCTGCGCCAATTGCGCCAAACTGCGCCAATGGTTTAACCATGCTACATCCTGCTACAATTTGCCAAAATATGGGTAATCTGCGCCAAGCCTCCGCCAAACAAATAATTTCGGTCGCCTTTCAAAGCCGAAACTAAACTGAGTACTGTAATTGAGCATGCGTGTGTTATGTGCACAAGCGGCCGCCCGACACAAAGTGTCCTGCATCAATTGTCCACCCGGTCTTAAATGGTTTTCCCGCCGTCTCGCGTTTGGTGCTTTCGTCGTCTCGTGATTCTCATCTCGCGTCTTTCTTTTTATTATGCTTTTATATATTTTTAACGATAGACGCGGCTGTGTGGGGTGTGTGCGGACGCTCCGACGCTAGCGTGTCGGGTACCATTCTTGTGGTCATGCTGTGAAACGAAACCATGTTTTTGCGTGGCTGGAGTTACTTTGTGAGCTGAAGCACTCGCTCCTGAAAGCAGCGGCCGTGTGGAAACTATATTTGGTCCCTGCCTTCCAGTCACCGAGGTCGCGCGACGTCGGGTGTTGCCGTTTCTATGTCGCTGCAGATATGGCGCTTTCTAAGATGAAACTAAGTACCGCCACAAGTTCATCAACATTCCTGTTCTTGTTTAAATAACGCGTTACTACAAAAATCTATCTTTAACTCAAAGACTGATGTGTCGAAGTATTGATTACATAGGTTTCTCTCGGTGGGCTTTCTTTCGAAAGCCCGGTACGTGAAAGATCTTCCGCGAAAGAAAGTTGGTGAAGAGAACTGAGCTAAAGTAAAGAAGGCAATGGTCTGCACGCTGAACTCGCACAGCGCGCTTGTTTGTTTCGGGTTCAGTCATTGCACAAAGCGCTCCAAGAACTTTTGACCCTGGCTCGCGATGTGTTACATCGATGCGCTCAGGTTTCTTCTTTCTTTTTTTCGTGTGTATGTGCGTTTAGCTTGTACCTTGTTTGCTGGCCTGGCAAGCATGTGCCGCTGGACTGTCTTTTGTAGTATGCTCGACAGTTATACTTTGCACAGAATTTTGGGAATCAGTTGGTGACGGAGCGGGGTGGCATGGTTTCGGTTTCAATCGAACCGTCGTTTGTCTCCGCTCGCGCGACGAAGCATGCGCAACTGCAAGCTTGCCGAAGTTGCCCTCACGTGCATGCAAACATGATTGCACGACAGAGGCATCAGCCAGGACGCTTACAGTCGATTGGTTTTTACGTTTGCTTACTTTTGACGAAAATCTGGTACTTCGGGAACCAGTAAAACGGTGGCAAGCGGTTTTTCGGAATTGCTCGGCAACCCTTACAGCACACTACACTTGTGGGATGTCAAAGCAGTGAAACACAAGCAGCGAGTTCCGTCGCAGCACGTCAGATCAGACCACAACAGAACACAAAGTTCCCTTTCTTTGTATAGCAATTAAAACAAATATTTTTCTGTTTCAAAGAATATCTGCTCCAAAAGCCACTTTTGTTACTAGGAAGCACTGTCTTGGCTGCTCCAAAAGCCATTTTTGCTGCTCCAAAACACTGTTTTAGTTGCTCCAAATGCCACATTTGCTGCTCCAAAACACCGTTTTGGCTGGTCCGAAAGGTGCTCCAAAATGGGTTAGGCCAATCACAACATTGACCATGCATTTTGGTAACTGCAGAGTTGGTTAAGAACAATATATCTATGATGTGCGCTTCTTTGAGAGCTAAGAAGGCATTGTCCGGAGTGTAATGTGTACGAGTTTCTTGGGTTTTCTTTTGTGCAGATTGCGCCAGGAGTGTGGACTGCTCGAGATGCAACTACCGTATTTACTCGCGTATAGGTCGACCTGTTTTTCAAAAATCGCCTCATCAAAACTGGGGGGTCGACCAATACGCGAATCCCGATATTATATTTTTCAACTTTTTTTTTTTTCGGGGGTCCCCTGAAGTTAGGGGGTCGACCTATACGACGTATCGACCAATATGCGAGTAAATACGGTACCTAAGAAAACGCTTCTTTTTTCCGTCCAAAAAAAAGTTTCCTTTTTATCTGTCTGGGGAATATGGTATAACAGAATTATATCGTCCAGACTATAGTTCACACCCGGTGTAAAGTCTGGAGGGGCGAAGCTTGGAGAAAAATAAAAGTCACGTCCCATCATCTTGAATGATCTAGCAAAAAAAAAAAATTATACAGCTCGATGGTGCTGAGAAAAGGGCGCTTCTCCCGTGTTTCAGCCTGGAAGGGCGTCTGCAATGAGCTGGAACTGCAGCAGGGCAGGTGTGAACCATGCGGAGCCGTCGGCGGCAAGGGGGCCCCCACGCGTCCGGAGCCACGCCGCCTGGTGGTCTACTACCAGCAGGAGGAGGAGCTGCCACGTGAGTCGCTCCTTCGGGCCGAACGTCACCGAAAGGGGGGGAGGTCCGATTTCAGTCTTGGCGAGAGCGTTTGCCGGTTGCTGGTTGGATGTAGCGCCACAGCTTGGGCATGATGGACCAACGAGGCGCTTTTTGCCCGTTTGCAAGTTCACAGTCGGGAAGAAAATTCGGCGAGAACGTCTCGCCAACCTGCAAACAGCGAGAGAGGTCTCGTGGTGTCTGACGTGCTTGTCCTTGGTCCTGTTTTATTCACCGGTCTAGCGCAACGGAGGGGGGGACTGAAACCCTATGAGCCTCCCGCCCTGGCTACACCGCTGGCAGGCTGTCAGTGGCTTCCAACGTGAAATAGCAAATGGTCGCTGTCTCAGCCTGCAGACGTGCGACTTTTTTCCGGTCTGTTAGCAGGTGACGTACAATGCTTTCTTGTTTTACTTGTATATGCGAATGGCACTTCATAGCAAACAAACCGCATTCTTCACTCGCATTAGCAGACGAACCGCCTGCAAACGCTATCTTTACTCGTTCTGCGAAAGGCTAATTACATCTCGCGTTGGCCAAAATCGAACCCCTGGTGTCAAAGTGGAGAAATGATTGGTGTGCTTGTATTTCTACAAAAATTATCATTATGTTCAATGAACTAGTGCGGATTGATGGATACGGCTGAAACCTTTCAATCGGGCGGTAGCTCCTTTAAGCTCCTTTAGTAGAAAAGACATTCTCCCGAGAGGAGAAGCAGGTCGTGCCACTTGGCACCGCGCTCCTTTGTTGGGACACCCTTCTTGTAAAAAATGTTCCAACAAAAGCGCGAGATTTAATTTTGTAATGAAAAGCATCAGTTATTCAAAAAGTGCCGATATATTTCATTTGGTATAGATAGGTTCTAGAGTTCCCCATGTTTATTTTTAAGAAAAATTTGGCAAATGTATTTTTGTGTGTGTGCATGTTTATTTATTTTTTAAAAACCTGCACACTTCAACAGTTTCTGTCATACAAATTTTAGAAATGGCGATTGTAGGTGACAAAACTCGCGAAGAACTAGGAGTACACATAAAATCAAGAGTGCACCGGGTGAAAATGTGGAGTGGGCTAACTTTTGGTATACAATCAAGGAGATTCAAACGAGCATTCGCAAGGCAGGAATGGCGTTTTATAATTGAATCGGCCAAGTTTTTTTTTGTTTTTTTTTTATATTGAACAGAAGGAAGGATGGGAACTGTAATTTAAAATTAGGGGTCAATCTATAATCGTAACCGGAAAACAGAGCTGTATTTCTGCAGTGCTTCACTGCAGGCTACGTCAAGATGCGATTGCATTTCGACGTTTCTTCTACGAAGGTCATATTGCGCCAGTTGAATGAAGGCGAACCTCCATCCTTTGCTCGGCCTTCGGTCTTTGCAGAACAAGCCCTCCTTGCTTCTCTATCCCTAGCCAAATGCCCTTTTCTCTTTCCTGGGGTACGATTGGCACAACGAACACGCCGAACCTCGGTGCGCTGCCGCTTTTGTTCAGCGTCGTGCTCTTCAGCCCGCTGTTATTCTCTCGCAAGACATTGCAAAGACGACCGACGAGCTTCCGGCAAGCTTATACGACATCTATCGTAGGCCCCTTCCAGAATGGGTGCCCTCTGTTGGAAGCTATGGAATCCCTACACAATGGCGGACGCAAGGGCGGCTTTCATTCGTGCCTCAACTTCACGAGCCCTCGTGCGGCGGGAGCAAAATTCGAGACTACCCACTCGTGCTCCTCCCACGTCCCGTGGTGTCAGTTTATCGAAAGTAACGTTGAAAGACGAGAAACGCCTCGGTGCCACCAACCGTTATCTCTACCGGAAAGGACAGGAACCAGTCACTCCGACAGGTTGGCGGATATTTCGCGGTTCAATCGAAAACCGTTCGCGGCTACGTGCAAACTCGAGGGGTTTGTGTACTCCCGCGACGCGGCGCAGGTGACCTTGAAGCTTGACGGCATTTGGTCCACTCCTCGGGGGAAAACTTTGTCGCGTGAAAGCACACACTGCCAGGCATTTTTCTGGATACTGTAGTTACTGACGAGATGAGGATGCCGGGGAGGAACTTCGGGCGTCCCACCTCCAGCGCAAGCTTCCTGCCTTCGATAGCGCCTCGACGTCTTGCGCGCGTTTGAAAGAAGTGCCTCGACGTTCTCGTTCTGCTGATAACCGCACCCCAACCCTGGGACTTGAAGCGTGCGTTCGTTGCTGTTGTTTCGCTGTTTGGAATTGTAATCGCTGTTCTGCGTTGCCCTCAATCGATCACATTCAAAGACGGTTTGTAGAGACTATGTACGACAGTATTTTGCGTAAAACCTGTCATAGCTGCTACAGCTACGACAGATTAATTCGGAAACTGGGTGACGTCCTTCGTATAATAGACGTCATTTACGAAATTTATCGATTTTACGCAAGGTTGTTTACGCAGCTGTTGATTCATTGCTGCTTTTAAGGGGACACACCCCCTAGGGGGGTCAACGTTTGAACCCTTGTCTTAAAATTAGTGAAATTTACAGGGTAGGCTTGTGGTCATGCTAGAGGGTGTATAACAAAATTTTAGGTCTGTCGGTTAAATGAAAAGGACATTACAGTAGCTTCTATCAGCAACACACCTACATTGTTTAGTTAATCTGTCGTAAGAAAACTATCACCATATTCAAGATTTTTATTCTCTAGATATGTAGCAGAATGCCTAGAGGGTGCAGCTATGGAACTTTTTTTTCTAAAACGTCATTGATTTCTATAAATTTTCTCTTCTGAAAAATTGGTTAACTTTTTGGTCTCCTGTGTCTTTGACAAAATGTCAACATTTTTTATAAAAGACATCCGTAAAGTGACAAAGAAGTTCTATAGCTGCATTCCTTATTAAATTTCAGTCGGGAAAGGGGAAGAATGAGCCTTCCCTGTTTTTCCGTTATCAAAGAATATCATAGATTGGCTAAAATGAAATTTATATTAAAAAGTGCATCGGAGAAAAATGTGTTCAAAGTGCTCCAAATCCTACCTTTTCTTTAGCTTTGGTGGACAGAAAATAATTTGTAAAAAATGAGCTATGCAGTGTAAATTAATTTAACTTTCTGGGAATACTCTGTAAATAGTGGTGGATGTAAATATGTTATTTTTTAAAATAAACTTTTTTTTGCAGAAATTTTTTTTTTTTAAGCCCCTTAAGCGTTGTCTGTTTTCGCGCCTCCTCTCGGTCCGGTCGCCCTCTATGCCTTTTTTACCCCTCTGTTTCACTCCATCATCGCCAATTACAAGAATGCAACCCAACCATAACCAGCTAGACCAATCTGCAACAGACCACTTTTTTGTTCCACGAGCACCTTTCAACGAAAAGTCGAGACATTGGTGTGTGCAGTTATAACTTTGCGTGCCTTTATATTTTTTTTTTTCTCTATTCCTATGACAATGCAGCACTTTTTAGGCTTAGTGCTGTTTGTGGACGCATCAGAACAAAGATTATAATTTTCTTTCCAGGGGGCTGCGAAGAGGGCGGTCTGGAAACTCGAGCCTGAGCGAGCAGAGCGACCGTTCCTTTCGCGCCCCAAGGCGGATCCGTTTGTACAGTATTTATTTTTTATCCGACGGGCGGACGGCGTCTGCGGCGACGACGGCGGCGACGGCGACTCCCGAGGCATTCCCGTGCGCCACCTCAAGCCGGCGACTCGTCTCTTGCTTTCCAATGACCCTGCCGGGACCGCTTCCCCACGATGCACTCACGGGGGAGCACGGCCGCGGCACAGCGTTTGCTCTCTTTTCTACCGATCCATGTACACGTTTTTATCATTTACCTCCGCGGAAAAAAAAGAATGAACGGAACAATAAAACAAAAAGTGTCCGGCCAGCGTGTGCCTGCTTCCTGGCATCGGTGGGGGCGACCTTCCCTTTCGAGATTAGATAGGGAGGAAGCAGGTGTTGCAGGCGGGGGCAGCATATGGCACTTTGTAAGGAGCTGCTGCAATGATGCAGAGAGCATATTTTCAAGAGAGGGAGCAACTCTGACCATGGGGAGCGTTTCCAATTTAATGGCGGACACCCCCTCCGCAGATCGGTTGCACGCGTTGTTGCCACGGGGCAGGAAGGATGGCGGGCAGAGTGACCGATCAAGGTTTGGCGACGCTTGCAGACGGCCGATCGTCATCGAGGGTACCTGAGGCACACGACTTCGAACAATCAGTTAGAAACACTCGAATTCGGGTGCACTACAACAAAGCAAGGCGTATGCCTCCATCAGGTGGATTGTGGGGAGAGCAAACAGTGCTTGTTACTCCAGAGGGCACGTTCTATCACCGCCATAGTAGTATTGGATCTTTTATGCAGTCTTGGGTAAGTTACTTCTAAAAAGTAATTCGTTACAGTTACAGTTACTTTCAGAAAAAAAGTAGCGAAGTTACCGTTACAGTTACCGCAACAAAAAAGTAACTTGTTACCGTTACAGTTACTTTTAAAAAATAACGACGTTACTTTTCTATAACACAAGAAAAAAAATTAGTAAGAACTAGAAAACGCTTTTCACCAAGTTTATTCGCATAAAATTAAAAAGTGTGGTTTTAATTCATATTGTAACTCGGCAGCAGTTGCTTCTCGAAATTAGTGTCTGAAAGTTTCCCTTGTTTGATAACAAACACGTCCCTGCCCTTGTTGAACAGGTGCTCGTATAACGCGCTGGATGGGATTGCTGTGTTTCGCCGGAACAGGTTTTTGATTGCCGGGTAGGCGTTGAGGCAATATAGTGCCGTTTTCTGCGGTCAAGTTGTTAGTAACCACCTCCACCACAGCAAAATACTCTCTGTACGCCGGCCATGGTAGTTCTTCCTTGTTCTTATCAACATTCATATCCTTGGTAGCACTAGCACATTGCTGGCTCGTTGACGGTTGCCCTGGATTCATAGTCCCTGGATATATTTCAGTTCGTACCCGGCAACCTAGAAACAAACCCCGCACAAACAGCAGTAAATTTCGCTTCGACTGTTGACACTACACCGGAGTAGTGGCACAAATCAAAATACGAAACATGCGCAGTACCCTCCGCGTGGATTGTTGTTTCACGTTTGATTCACCCGATTAAAAAGCGTTTGCTCAGAAAAATGAAAAACCGCAAAAGAGATAGTTCTTCAAGATACTAAGATGCAAGTGTTCAGTCACAAAGTACAAGCACGTGCTAAAGATAACTACATTTTTTTTCACCAAATCTACACGTAGCTATATTCGAGTCGTGACTGGCGAGAAAGAATGTATTCACAAATTTGTGCAAAATATATTTTGACACTCAAAATGTCGGAACAGACAATTTGGAAAGATCAAAGAATGGCTAAATTGTACTCGTTAAATGATATATTATTAAAAAAAACTGGAAAGTAACTGCAAAAGTAACGTCGTTACTTTCATCGTTACCTGAGAAAAAGTAATAGAACTACAGTTACAAGTTACATTTTTAAAAAGTAACTCGTTACAGTTACAAGTTACCAAAAAAGTAACAAAGTTACATTAACGCGTTACTAGTAACTCGTTACTACCCAAGACTGCTTTTATGTCGCCTTTCGCATGCCAGCGTGGGGCACGGATTAGATGCAAGTACTTCGTCGGTGTTTGACTGGGATTTGTGCTCAGTCGGTGAGGTCACGAGATATGACACACGTGTCTAATTTGTGCCCCACGCTGACTTCTGGTAGGTAACGAAACTCCAGCACTGCGGCCGCCTTATCTAGGTGGTGTTGGCTTCTCTTGCAATGATGGATAGATGTATATGGCTGAACTCTAAAAGTCTGTCGGCTGCCTGTACCTCGCAGCAAGTGTTTTAATGTTGGCTACCCTCTACCTAATATACAAAATATCATGTTTGATATTCTTAATCGGAATACCGCTATAAATAGACTTCTTGAAAAGTGTCCAGTGCCGTCTGCAGTGCTGAAAGGAATGCCGGGAACGCTAGATGCAACTGATTCTAGCAGACGATGGAGGCGACTGTGAGCAGGCCAGGGAAGGTGAGCAACTTGGGTACCCTTGCTTGCTCTCTTCAATGTCGCGTTGTAGATGCTTTGATGTGAAGGAGGAGCGTACAGGACTTTGCTTGCTATCCGTATGAATGCAGCACTTCTGCAACTTTTCCTGTTTGTCCAACGGAACTACAGGAGAAGAATACTAAGACTATATTCTGTCGACTTGCACCACCAGTCTGATAACCTCTGCGTTGTAATCTCTACCTTCCCAACATCTGTTTTTCCTCTCGCTGTCCTTAAACTACAGTGGCCTACGTCGACTCCAATGCCTTTACTGAATAAGTCTCACCTTTGGCAACAAAGCAAAGTGTGTGCCTCCATCTGGTGAGTTGTGGGGGAAACAAATGGCTTGTCATTTCAAAACATGGGTTCAAATCGCTTGCAGCAGAGAAGCCCTGCCTTCTCTAACCATATTTTCCTGACTATTTTATTTTTGTCTGCATAAATTAGTTTCAACTGGAAACAAAAAAAGTTTTCCCTTAGATTGTTTGCATGTAAAATATTTTCACGCACAGCACACCTTGATAAATGTCTGCTTTATTGGCACGCAAAGAAGCTTGTTTCATACAGGAACATTTCGCGTGTAGCCCACACCCGTAGATAGTTCACAATTTATAAAATTTATAATTCTAGACGTATATAGTAGGAGAACCGTGAAAAGAAAGCTGACGTCTGGAAACAGATTGTGGTGGTCTAGGGAGGCTCAAGTGAGCTTGGGTGCAACTCCTAGATCGGGGATCACGGGGCATGGACGCCATTTAATTGCTAAATTTTGCTGGGCGCCTATGGGGCAAAGGGCCGTTTTCTTTCCTAACTCGGGTCATAATGGCCCATTTAGGTGCTTGAATAATTTACACAATGTATAAATGATTACTCTCCCATAGCCACCAGCTTTGTTACGATAGGTTAAGTATTTTTTTAACGTGAAAAATGGTAAATTCCGCCATCTTGGACGTTGCTTCTTGTCTGGCAACCCTGCCTTCTCCTCTCGACGTTTGCAATTCCCAGGGCGAGGAGGAAGCGAGAGAGGCTGCGACAAGGGTTCGTTGCTTGCAATGGGAGGAGAGAGGAGGAAAGGTGCATGGAGCAACAGAGTTGCAACAGAGCGGGCGCCTGCTCTCATGCAGGCAACATTGGCGCATATCCTTTCCCGAATCCTCTCCCTCAGGCACCGCCATTAAATTGCAAACGCTCTCCAAGTTTTGAGTTGCGCCCACCCTCACTAGAGCCTCCCTATGGTGGTCTTGTGACTGCAGTGTTTCGAGCGGCCGTTGGGCGCAGGGGTGCTTTCTTACAAGATTTGGCCCTGTTTTTTTTTTTGTTTTTTTTGTGTAATCTTTTATAGTCCAAATTTCGAAGCATTGCAGAAGGGAACATACGATGCAGGTGGAGAGGCAGTGGTGGAGTATGAGTCATCGGAAGTATTAGTATCTATTAAAACCAATAACTGCCTAAAGGGCAACTCAGCTTCATTTTTTGGTTTTGAAAAAACAATGCAGTCCTCTTCAGTATCGCCTAGGAAGACCACACGTCAAATATTACGACGCAGTTCTGTCTAAATGTTTCTTAAACGGTCCGGCAAACTTTGCAACTCGCCAAGTTGCCGAAATCGGCTGACTCGAGCGGGCGAATTCAGGCGCCACCAACAGCGCAGTCAAGGCTACGGCATGGGCGGAGCCAACATTGAGCTAAACGTCATCATCATGGCCCCCTTTTGCTTGTTTTTACTTCTCCGATCGAGCGTAGCGCATGACGTCAGCAACGTTGCCTCTCGGCGCTCAGCGGTGTCCACGTGATTGGCGTACGCGCCTGCACAGCGCGCTTCTTGGGAGCAGACCAACCGCCCGCCGTGGTCCCGCCGTCTTCCGCGTCACAACCACCGTCGTCGTCTCACCGTTTGTGATTATTGCCTCTCGGAGTTGCTTTTCTGTTGAAAAAGGAAGACGAAGCACCGACCAGTGCCCTCTGATGCATTCCGAGCTCCGCAAATTTTTGCCGAAAATCCCGGAATACTTCACCAGTGACCTTTCAAGCTGCACCAAAAGGTCAATATACCTCACCTGGACCTTCGAGCAGCAATATCCCGGACCTATTAGACCTGACTTTATCGCCCAAGGTCAACTTCACCCCCCCTGCGGGAACCGACTCGCTAAGCCTGACATTCGGTGAAACAGCCGACTTGACCCTGCACTCGGCCCGGCCACCGTCCGCTCGGCCAGGGTCCAACAACACTTTCAACCAACATCGACGTCATGGATATTGACCGAGTAAATTCCCATGAATGGCAGACTGTCGGCATGGCGCCACGGCAGCCCCACACCACGACCATTATTGTGAAACTATCCGACAACATCAACCTCGGCAGCGTGGACACGCATATACTTGGAGCCGACGTGCTTCATGCCGCTGGCCTCAACACCATCGAGCGAAAAGACACCTATATAAAAGTACGAACAATCCAGAACCTCCTCGCAATCGACACTTACAGACCTTCGGCCGAGACCAAATTACTTGCTTTGAAAACCATACATATCCAAGGCAAACAGCATGAAATCAGGACATACAAGGCCAATGATCCAGCAAACGCACGCGGAGTTGTGCATGGAATCCCCGCGACATTATCAGAAGAATACATCCGCAACACCCTCGAAGTGGAACACGCCAAGCTCCTGCACCTCCGCCGCATCGGCACGTCGAACACTATCCTGGTCACAGTTGAGGGACCACGGCTACCGCACTACGCCTTTATGAACCGCGTTGCCATAAGACTGCACCCTTACCAGCCGCGAAGCATCCTTTGCACGCTCTGCTGTGTGATCAGACACCGCGCCGACGTCTGTCCCAA